CCATTGAGCCATCGAGCTCGGTGTCTAGCCGGTTGTAGATCGGGAGTATATAGTATTGGTTTGTACACCGATCTACCTCTCAGTCATCTGTCCCACTCTGCCTGGGGTCTCTACAGAGGCCCTGACAGCCGTAGCAGCTAATAATGTAGGCAGATAATATAACCGGCAAAGGCAAGGGAAACTGGAATGACCATTTCTGACTTATTAGCCCTGGACAGCCAGTCATACCCAGACTCAAGTGACGCCCAACCCGAGTCTCGAACTCGCAACTTCTTTGATCAGAGTCAAACGCCCTAACGACTGAGGCACGAGCTCGTTGCCCCGCCGGTTTAAGTCGAGGGATATTGACACTCATTGATGAACGTTCACTCGACCGCTAACGGAGCTCATCTGTTCCGCTCTGCCTGGGGTCTCGACAGACCCTGGCCGCAATTGATCGTTTTCCATAGGTGGCTATGCCAATTAATCTGACCTGAGTGTGGTACGATAACATGCACAGTCCTTACAGATAATGTGATTTTCCCGCCACACATGGCGACACACGTACAATATGTGCCAAAACGTATAATTATCTGCTTGAAACATTTAAATAAATTAAGTATTTTTAACGCATTATGCTTCTTGTGTATGCGTTAAACAAGCGTATACGCCAAAATGTATTGGCATTAAAAAAGTCGCGGTTGCCTCTTGTTTGCTTTATGACATGAATCACGAGTAACGGGTGAAATCATTTGCTGTGAAAAATATCAAGTTACCGTGGAAAAATGATCTTGGGGTAACTTCCTACGCGTCAGCATGCCGTCTTTTGGTTGATCCTTCTTGTGGGTGTTAGATTGCGATGCAGTAAGAGCATATTGTACACCTACAGAGCAATGTTTGTAAACCTAGCAGGGTTTTACGCTACTTATTTAAAAACGAAAATACCCAATAATTCAGAAGATATTCTAGCAAATATACATTTGTTTTTGATAAATTATTATCAGGCGTTTACATTTATATGGCCGAAAGACGCTAATCCAACAGCCCGCAGCTTATCATCTCTCTCGGCTACCACTCTCTCCTAACGCTGATCAGATTTTTGACCCCGATTCCCCTCCCTCTCACCGCTCCTGACAACCGCACATTTTCTTCTACCAGCCTACATAGTTCACTTAGTTAATTAGCATATAAATGTAGAGACCTGATGAGAATTGATGGAAAACAAACGTATGTTGGCCAGTTGATCTTCTGAAATTTCCGAATGAGAATTTTCGCAAATTTAAAACTATACAATATCTTAAAAACAGACTGCTATAAGAAGAGCAAGAAAGCACCGTTTGAGACAACTAGCCGATGCCGACATATTTCCTGGCTCAGTTAATATTACCAAAGGCCGCGGACGCAGAGAAAGAGAGAGAGAGATACCACGGACCACTGTTTTGTCGACATCATGCGAATTATTGGCACGTGGCCGAAACCATATGTTCTAACGATAGGATGCGACGCGGGCGCCCCTTTATCTTAGAGATAACGAGATAGGAGACTAGAGTTTGAGGGTTGAAGCCGATGACTCAATGGGTAATTGAATGTTTAGTCACCCTGACCTGTTGTTGGGGCATGGTCCACTGGATGACACCATCATGCAAGCCGAAATCCTTGGGGAAGCACAGCAGACGCGTCTTCGTCGCGTTCCCACCCACCCTCAAGACGGCCAAGGTCTGCTACACCAATCTCCTTACGGTGGATCTATCTCCCCTCCTTTCCATCTGTGTTTTTCATGACGGAGCAGCCCCTCCCTCCCGGCTCCTCCTCCTCGCCGGCGGGGCTCCTGATCCAACAACGGCTACTACCCAGCCAGCCGAAATCCTTGGCCAAGCCTCTTTTCTAAGTCGGAAATATTTGATTATTGGTCACTTATTGCCACGCAGCCGTCAGCGAGGACTCTAAACGGGAGGTCAGGGAATTTCAATACTGACAATCGTTGATAAAAGTTTACCGACCGCTAACGGAACTCACTCATCCTGCGCTGCCTTGGGTCCTATTTATCGGGTCCTGACGGCAGCCGTACAGCGGCAAAGACAAGGGAGACTTGTATGGCCATTTCCTGCTTATTAGCCGTCGTCAGTCAGTCATACCCAACTCCAAGTGGTGCATCACCCGCCTCTCGAACTCGCGAAATTTTCGATCAGAGTCTAATGCTCTGACCACTGAGACACGAGCTCATTGTCTTGCCGGTTTACTGACACTCATTGATAAACGTTCACCGACCGCTAACGGAACCCACTTCTCCCGCTCTATCTTGGGTCGATACTACTTTTGGAGCTAGGCACCGACTCGGGCAGCCAAACCTGGCTCGTCTTCGTTCCATAACCAGCCCACTTTAACAGGCGGAATTCCAACTTGGCAAGAAGGCGAGGACACCAGTTTTTTTAAACCGGCTCTGTAACCTTCGAGGGCTCTGCACAAACGCAAGTGTACTAAAACCCGTGTAGCTGAACCATGTGAGATTAGAACACTAGTTTGAGGAGGGGGCGAAAGGAAACAAAAAGTGGAATCAAAACCTCAAAATTGGAAAGAGGACA